CAGAAATGGGTCTTAAGTAAACGCACTTCTAAAAAATGTTTGTTGAAACGTAAAATGTGAAACGTTAAAAGTAAAGAAAATAGTAAATTCAAGCATTGATTCATTGCTTCGAGCGTGATCGATGGTTTGGAGACTTTGTTAGGTTATATTAAACCTAGCGTCATTAATCGTAGCTGCTCGTATTTTTTCTTTCCGCTCATAGAATGATTCATTATGCAGGGTTATGCGAAACTCCGCTTCGCAACTGTATCATTTTTGAAATTAAGCGAATGAACAAGCTGAAATTTGCTGATCACTTTGAGTAAAATTCATCATCTCCATGCAGAAAAGTTTTAAATGCGGTATAAATTAGTTAGTATTAGATTCGCTTCAAAAGTATGTTGTTTATGACACCACTCTATTTCTTGCCGTGAATCAAATTGCTTTAATGCCTTTCTTTGCCTAATTCAAGTTAACTGGAAAATGTAACAAAATTGGTATTCTCTTTGCATTAATTAAAAGAAATGTAGACGTATAGTATAGACAGCTAATGCTCCGAGTGATATATGCTTTTTCAATGTTTTCCAGTAAACTTTAATCTAGAAATCTAACACTGAGTGCTTGTAATTAGTTTGTACAAACAACTTCATTTCGCAATTTCAGTTCTTATTGTCTGTAAAAATATGTTTATTTTCTCACAATTTGTAAAATTTATTTTAAGTGTCATTCACAGATCTGACATGTCAGTTTTTGAAATTCAAGCTTCTATCTGTGGGGTCTCTTATCGGATAATTTCATTTCTTGTATTAGCTCAAACCGCGCAAAAAATGTTTAAGCTGAACAGCTAGCTCGAAAAAATCTAGGCCTTATATTTGAAACTAAGGAAGTAATCATCGAATACAACTGAATGTGTAAACGGGTGCCTTATAATTGGTGTTTTGGAGAAGTTTTGGACACTTTCTGCTGGCTATATTTTATTTGGATCTCTTCAACTATTCCCCCTTTTGCAAGGGAGGGAGAGATTTGTTACTAGGTACAAAATTCTCATATGCTTAATCTTTGATTTAATTCTTTATAGGGGGAGGGGGTGAGATTTGTTACTAGGTACAAAATTCTCATATGCTTAATCTTTGATTTAATTCTTTATAGGGGGAGGGGGTGAGATTTGTTACTAGGTACAAAATTCTCATATGCTTAATCTTTGATTTAATTCTTTATAGGGGGAGGGGGTGAGATTTGTTACTAGGTACAAAATTCTCATATGCTTAATCTTTGATTTAATTCTTTATAGGGGGAGGGGGTGAGATTTGTTACTAGGTACAAAATTCTCATATGCTTAATCTTTGATTTAATTCTTTATAGGGGGAGGGGGTGAGATTCGTTGCTAGGTCCCAGAGTGAGGAAATAGTTAAAGAGAGCCGTTAGGTTCCTCTTTAAACAAACTGATACAAAAAAAATCTTTAACTTTGGAATGATTAGATTCAAAGGCACCATGAAGCAATTTAGTAGACAAAGCATACTTCATCACTATTTTTGAAAAAGAAGAGGAAGAAGCCGAATTCATTCAAGCAAGCGGAAGTTGATATCAAAGAATACTAAGTTCAAATTGAAAATACTTCACCACTTGAAAAGAATAGGTAGCGAAAGAAAATGATCTGCTCTAGGTTTACCCTGTGCAATACAAATATCGAACAAAAGAAAATTAAATGATCGGCTGTGATTCGCACGCTCTACTCGGGTTCCCAAGTCAACCACTTCAAAAAGTTTTAAGCGCTTTCTAAATGAATTTTTCTTCCCCTCCCTACCTGGGTTGAATTATAGCCATTCACGTTTTCAAGTTGATCTGGAACATCTTGTTTTGAAATAACAGAATTCTAATTTACCGAATCAAAATGTATTTATAATTGATTGACCGCCCTCGATGCCTCTGAATGAATTTTTGGAAAAGTTAGAAACTACCCTGTTCAAATTAAAGTGATATAGGGTGAACTGATTGTGATGAGTGATTTCAACTTTGATATTCTCTCAGAAAAAAATTGTCTAGTAAAAAATGCTTTTGGAATCGTTTGATTTAATCAGTAATAATAATTCATTTACCAGGGTTAATTCGACGTCAAGTTCTTGCATCGATCATTTGATAATTGTGTATGGGCTTAACTGTAAATAAAATTACCTATACTATGAGTGATAGAAGTATAATTTTCCTCTTTAGCCTGAACCAAAAACTGAATTGTTTGAAATATCTGAACTTGAACGCTTTTTATACCAATATATGTGAAATGTTGCTGAAACAATTTGATTTGTTTTGTCCAAAAAACCTCTGAAAAGCAATTTAAGGATAATTTCTTGGTTACCATGAGAATCAAAAACCTGATGAATAAACAAAACAGATTGCATAAAAGCTGGGCAGAGCATACAAACATTGAAAGTCACAAAAAAGTAAGTCGGCGAGAATACAGAAATCAAAGAAGCGCGTCCCATGTAATTTTTTACGACCGTAGGCGAGAAGTTAACTAAAAGTATAGAGACTCAGACATTAAAACCAATTTTCAGAGCGAACGGAAATTCGTTTTTCTTTACTGTTCAATAAATGAAGTACTCCTCAACATTAAAGATCTGAACAATAAAAATTATGTTGGCCATGGCGGGATCTCCAATCAAAGGCTCAAGTACGCTGCACCAGTATTAGATGATCACTTGGCTTACTTTTAAAATCAGTGCTTCAAGCAGGAAAATTTCTAAAAATATCAAAAAAATTTGCATTGCATAAAAATGGTGTGAAAAATGGTCCGGATAATTATCGACCAGTCAATTTAATATCCGATCGGGAAGATTTTCGAAAACGTTTTGTTCAAACGTTTATCCCGGTTCGCCTCCAAAAACAAAACTATACATGAAAAACAATTCGGTTTCAGATATATTCGATCCTGTGTTCATGCAATATTAACCATAACCGATTTCACAAGGGTAAGCACTGACAGAACGATTCGGCTATTCTTGTTTCATTGAATTCAAGAAAGCATTTTATACAATTGGCCGCAGTATTTTAATTGAAAATATGGAAAGATGGTTATAGGTGTAAAGTTTCAAGCTCAATGGAAAGTTTCTAACAAATAGACAACAATGTGTATTCAGCTGAGAAAAATTCACAAAAACTGTGTAAAAAGGGGGATCCTCGAGGATTGGTTATAGGTCTTTTTCTTTTTTTGAATATTGTCAACGGCTTTCTTTGATCCAATAAGGGAAACATTTGTTTGTTTGCAGAAACGAATAATTGAAACGATTTTCTTTGAGTGAAAATTTGATCATGTATCCGAAATTCTTGAGACTTATGAAAATCACGCTGTATTCGATTTGTATTTCAGACAAGTTTTTTTGGAAACTTTTTTGCTGGAACTTATACGAAATAGCCCAATAAACACCCTTCATCTTGAATATTTTTGTTATACGGAGGGTAACGCGGGCCAGTTCTCTAAAAATCCTACCTTCCTTACTGTCTCGTGCTCTTACTATGCAGCCATCTTGGCGGAATGTCTGTTAAAATGTTTTAATTATCTCAACTCGAATCAATTAATTGTGGATAATCTAAAACACTTTTCAGAACATCAACTACACCGTTCCTACAATAATTTTGATTTTAACCTCATCAAGGCAATAGTTTAATCTTGAGCTTGTTTTTCTGGTTGTACTCTTAGTCGAAAACTTTTCGCAACTTATGTAAAGGTTCTTCAGGGCATGCCTCGACAAGCTGAACAGCTTCTTGCGTGTCCTTGGTTTTATTGAAATGTAAGTCAAGTTATATATCGTTCTACACTTTTTCATATATCACATCACTTAAATGAATTCAAGTTCAATTTTTTCGAAAAAAATTTTTAAGAAGTTGAAAGATCTGTGTTTTTTCCATCTATGATTGTATGAATTGTTTCAACTCCTAAATTTTCTTTTCTAATTTAGCCAAATACAATTTTGTTACAATGGCGATTTGCAAGCTTTATCCAATCGGAAAATAAGACTTCGACAATAACTTGTAGTCTAAAAATAGTATTTTAGCTTGGCGTATTTTAAAATCAAATTCCTTGACGGATTCTGTGCTTTTTGCGCGGAGCTTATGCACATTCTTGGGACGACTTAAGCCAATAATTCGATACCAACCAAGACCTATTTTTCAAGAAAATTGAACAATCAAAATTCATGTCTGCATTGTTAACGGCTTAGTTTCCACAGCACAAAGGTTGCTTGAAATTTCGGCTATTTTTATTATGTAAGATTGCCATTTTATTAATAGTGTTTCCAGATAAATTTTAAGACTAAACAGTAAAATTAGACTAAAAGTAAACTTTTAAGTTAACGCAAATAATTAAATTTGGAGTAAAAAAAAATTGGAAACCAATCCGAAAATTCTGAAACATTTCAGAAAAGCTGTTTTTCGAGTTTGCGCCCCATGTCTTGGCAAGTTTATAAATTGCACAACTGAGAGCAATTCATTGTATTATACGTTTTTTCCCTATTTTTTGCTGTTTCATAGTTTTTGCCGAAAAATTTGATCATTTCGTTTTGTGAAATCCTTGATATTAGCTCAGAAATGTTAACAAAATCTCCCGTTCTTTTCGTTCTCGTGGATTGCTTTAAGTAAATTTCAAGTGGTCTGGCGTTACCACTTCCCTAAACCAAGATTCAATGGATTTGAATGTCACTGATTAAATAAAATAACAAGGCCATTCTTAACTATTTAGCTTCTAATGAGTTTTTTTTATTACAAATTTTCTAAATGAAACGAGTTTCGTATTTTTCAAAATGAAGACTTCATTTGCTAAAAGTTTTCAAATGAGCAAATGGAACACGTCTCCGTGCAAATTTAAGTCCGGTACATTCATACTAGTTTTGTCCCAGCAAAAAATACATGCTGATCTCAATGTTTCAAATGATAAAACTGAGTTGAAAAGTATGAATCGCCCTGGAGGCCAGTTGTTTCCTTGTTCGAAAACAGATGGATTTCCTACTGATGTGCTAATTTCAGATTTTACATGAAAAGTGTCGCAAACATTCTGCTGTAGTTAGAAAAATGAAGGTAAGTGAAAAAAAGATGGATTTCAAGTTTTCTTCACTCAGTAATTGAAGCTTATAGAATCGTTTTTTTTCTCCATTATTTGGATTCAGACTGCGAGAGTTGCAAACACAACGAAGTTCAATCATTATTCCGCTTAGACGCAAGATTTTTCAAAACGTTTTATAAGACTATTTATCCACAAGAGAAAAGACTAACATAAGAGTTGTTCGGTTCTTTTTTCAAACGGCTCTGTGTTTTCCTTAAAACTTGCATGCAAAAGTTTGGTTATTGTTTGTTTGGGTAAAAATGGACCTTGTTCAAGCAACTAGCATGGATCATGGTGTGACTCAGACATCCGTAACTTCAAGCTTAAAGCAGAGGCTGAGCCACTTTACCACCACCCCCCCCCCCCCCCCCCTACCATTATAATTATCTTACACTTTATGGAAAAATGACTGAACGAGGTTAATGAAGTATAGGAAGCTTCAACATCTGTTGGTTCATTTTCTTGTTTTTAACATCAATAATGTTTTAGCGTCTATTTTGGCACACTGAGAAGTTGTTTGGAAATGGGGATGTGAACTTCCAGTGGCAGACGAGTAAAGCCAACTACTTGGTCACGTGTGGATCTAACGGACATGTGAACGTGTTCAATAGACATGGCGAACCCAACTACGACTTCGCCACTAAAGTATCTGGGTAAGCAAAAACAACGCCTTGATGGCTTTTAGTTGTTCCGACCTCTGAAATTGGAGTGTTATAGTTTTTTGTTCTAACTGTTTTAACAAGCAAAATCAGCTATCACAATTAGTCTTGAAATTAAGTAGAGTGATATATCATATTATGGCCCTTTCAACCGTGATTAGAATAACATTTATTTTTTTATCAAGGTTCATGTTAAATAACCGGTCTGAAATGTTTGCTTCTTCATCTTTCTTTCGAGCAATACAGTGAGCGAGTAGGTGTTATAGTGGAAATTTTTTTTAAAAAAAGCCGTAAAAAAACTTAGTTTTACTGCCGAAAAACAAGTTTTTGGCGGTTCTTCTAGCGCTTCCTCGGCAATCTAACATTTAGTAAAAAAAATTGAAAAAGAAAATAGGATGTTTTTTTTCTCAGAAAAATGTTACCTGTGCATCTCATTTCTTTTATATGACCAGTATTAAACAAATGCATGTTTATTGGATTCAAATTATTTTCATTTTCAATTAAGGTCCCTGAAATTAGGTATTAATAAAAGTTTCTGAAGAACTTCAAATTGAGATATTCTTACACTTCGAAACAGGAAGCACTTCAACTTTTTGACAGTGCTGTACTATTGAGCTATCAAAATATTGTCGTTGAGAAGGTTTCAAGTATCAAATGACCAGTTTTCACAGACTTCGAGCAAGTTGATTGAAAAAGAGTTGGACCGCCTTACAAGTATTGCTCCATTTAATTATTAAAAACTATAGCTAAACTTCATTCTCTTGTCCATTATAGGCCTCCTTCCCCCAGCCTCTTAGACCAGAAAATAACATTACAGTTCCTTTAAAAAAAAGATTTTTGAGCGTTAAGAGGTCTATAATGGAAAGAGCCGAAATTTTTACTAACGTGATTTAAAAGCTGAGGAGATGGAGGCAGGAGCGGATCCAGGAGCTTCTCGCGAGGGGGGGGGGGGGAGGAGGGGGGATGTAGGATTTTCAAAACAAAATTGAAAACTTTGTTGACCATTTTTTTAGGTCGACCAAATTGATTTTCTGAGCTCTCATAGATCACTAAGTAAACCCTAATTTGACCAAATTTACTGCGGCGTTGGCAAACCCTAAATTTACTGCGGCGTTGGCAAATTTTTGAAAAAACGATTTTAGGCAATTTTTTGAAAATTTCAACCAAAAAATCGCGTTTGTTTGGCGCGCGTAATCCCCCCCCCCCTCAAAAAAAATATTATATTATGAGGCCAAAGGCGCCTTTAGGAAAATTTTAAGGTCCATCAGCCAAAAATGGATGTCTCAAAATAGTTTAATGGGGGTCGAATCCCTGAGGGGAAGCTGTCCCCCCATAAATCCTCTACAGGATAGAGGGGTGTTTGTGGGATCAAGATACTTAAAATTAATAAAAACAGCCAGCAATGGAAAACCGTTATTTAAGTTTTTGAGCAAAAATTTTACTTGAAAACTGCCTAAAAGAAGGGGCTAATTGTTTTTGCGAGCAAATCGAGCCCTCCTCAGTGCTTGTTAAAGATAAGCTTCTTGGTTTTTATTTTTTTACAGGCATTTTCAGTCAAAAAAACTTCGAAGTTATTATCGAAAATTCCAGCCAGGCTAAGTTGGATAATAATTCAGCCCTTTTTATACAACTTCTGAACTAAAAGATGAACATGACAGAAGTAATTATTTGAGAAGCATAATTCTTGAGTATAATGCTACTATATGACGCGCGTAATATATTTGCTTATTGCAACGGCCAGTTTGCTTAAAGATCTGTAAACTCAGATGAAAAGTAAGGTTTTTGTCTCCTAAAAGTCCAACTAGCTGGCATGTATTTTTTGCAGAAAAGACGCAAATGTAGACTGAGCTGTTGATTTCAGGCTTCTAAACGAATATATGTATTTTTTAAATAAATTTATTGCAGTTTCTCTCATCAACTAGAGATAAAAGGCGTTATTGAGTAGGGTTGAGTAAAAGTGTACAGACAGAACATAGAATTTAAAATGAGTGTTTTTGATTTAAATAATTAGTGGAATGTGATGATTCCAGCCACTGCACTGGTCTGGCGTGGGATCCGGATGGGGACGTGTTGGCTATCTCCTCTGACCAGAATAGTCACGTGATCCTCTGGGACACCACCATGAACAGAACCATAGACCTGGACGTGGGACTCCGAGAACCCATCACTGCAATACAGTGGTCTGCATCAGCTAAATTAGCAGTTGGGTCCGCAAAAGGCAACTTGCAGGTATATAGATGTTCTCAGTTCTTATTCTTGGTGCTACGGGACAAACCCGCTATGAGAGAAATTAGGTGTTTTAATGAAGCCCAATCAGAATATATCAGATAGTTTTTCGATGTTAATCAACGGAAATTATTTTGGTTTTTGATCACATGATTTGATTTTAATATTTCTCAACTAAAAATGGGCGATTAAATAAATCACTCAGTTTTATTTCGTATTTTCTAAATATTTGACTTAATTATATCAGACGAGAGAGGAAATGCTCGCAGTTCTACGTGATCAATTGAAATCAAACGATTTGCTAAAGTCTAGTTTCGGTTTTCCGTTTTTATTAGTGACGCGGTACTATTTATTTTTATTTTTTCTGTGGGACTTAGAAGAGAGACTGAATAAATTGTTTTAATTTTTTTTTGTCGCAATCTTATGTGTTGTCGTTGTCGACGCCGTGATGAACTTGGAAGCAATTGGATCTTTTGCAGGTGTACAATCACCGTGCGGACAAGAGACTTCCAGCACCAGTGGCCAAACACACGAAGAAGATAGTGTCCCTGTGCTGGAGTAGAGACGAGAAGCTGGCTCTGGCTAGTGAGGATAAGAACATCAGTGTCAGTGACGCCAACGGAGACCACATTTGCCAGGTAGGTAAACCAAGTTCAACGTCAATTCGGAATTAATTCCAGTTGATTAATACGATGCGTTGCTGTCTATTTTTTTCATGAATCTCGGAGGAAAGCCGGAAGCTTTGGTTCGAATCTCGGAGTCTTCCTGTGTGATTTGTTAAGGTTTATGTTGTTGATTTGTCCTCCGATGAGCAGCGTTAATGCCACCGGGTACCAAGTTTTTTCACTGTAAATAAAAATTGTTCGCAGAGTTCCTCAGTTTATTTTACACTCTTGCGATTAGAGAGGTTTTTGCAACCCGGTACTAAGACCAACATTTTTTTCCGGATTGATAGGTTTCCGTCTATGTTATATCGAATAAGTGGCCTCATTTTCTTTGTTTGATGAGCGAAAAGTTTTTTGTTTAAGTGTGTGTTTTTTATGAGTTATTAGACTTTTTAGTGAAATTTTTTGGCTCAAATGGTTCCTGCTGAAGGTTTTTTTACGCATGTGTTTTTTTTTCGATGCTAGTTTCATATATTTTTATTTTGGCAAATAGTTTTTATTCATAACCTACTGAGACAAATTATCAATATTTTTCTAGATCTTTTTTTTTACTTTCCGATTTCTTTTTTTACAAAGCGACTTTCGTCTCATTTTCTGACCACTAGTTTGCTATGCTGTGTTTTCATTGTAGCGCAAATGTTGCGAATCGCCGCTTCGCCTCTGTACGAGAATCTTGAGCTCCAGTTGCAAACTTTGCTCGTTCGGCGCAGAAGTAACACACATGCTTGATAGTCAAAGAACAAAGGTTCGAGTCCTAGCAGTGTCTAAGTGATTTGCAAATTGAAAATTTTCTGGGAATATTTTAATTATCAGTCTCATGTTTGCAGGATCATTTTTTGCAGGCTTGTGGTTTAGGCTGATGCTAAATTGGTTTAATCGTCCCCTATCCACGCTTCATTTTAAATCTAAACCAGGAAATGTGTGTTTCATAAGGGGTATCGCTTTATTGGCTCATCGGCGTTAACTTCATGCGAGACAAAAGTGATAGAATTTTGGTTGATATTTTTCAAGTGGTTTGGTGTCTGCTATCTTGTTATGCGCTATTGGCCTCTTATCGCAAGCGATGCGAAGCTCTGCTTCGTCTTTGTTTCAGTTTATCATTTTACAAAAGCAATGCTTTTTATAAGATGGCTTTTTTTTCGAAAATAGTGAATTTTTTTCTTTGTTTAATTTTGTGTTTAATTTCATTATCAGTGTTCAGGTACAGCTCAAATGCTATTATTCTGGTTTTGTCCGCTTAAAATTTAGTTTCTGCCTGGTAATTTTTTCTCATGTATATGTGGAAGTTCCTTGCGCATAAGGTCTCTTTAACTGAGCTGGATTGAAGAGAGTCCAGGTGATTGCCTATGACGTAGCGGCAGAGGATTGATACCCTTGTGATGCAATTTTTTGCAAACTTATTTCCAATTGTTTTTATAGGATTCTTTTTGGGTTTTTGACCTCATCGATGCGTTTTTTGTTGCTGCTTGAACTACAGCTCCCCTTCTATATATTTCCTTGGAAGTTAGTTTGTCAATTGATGGCTTTTGTGATCGAATAGTCCGATGAAAGCAAAAGATGTAAAACCCGCAAAAGATATATAACCTTTTTGAGGCGTGAAAATTTTTTATCAATGCGTATCTACTGAGTTAACTGTCTACATGTTGGCGGAATGATTAGGTGATTCTGTTTGACAAGAAGTCGACATAAAGAGTTGATTGTATTAGGGTTTGAAGCTCCAGCTTGAAGCTTGAGCGACCGTAGACTCTAATTTCAATGAGCTCTTCGAGAGCTTGCTGCCGGTGATGTCAATGTTTGTTGCGGCGTAAAATTTTTCGTCTGTTTGCTTGTGTGTGTATGTAATGCCTTGCTATAGTACTTAGAGTTCTGTCGTTTCGATGGATGCATTGCCAGTGGAAATTGATATGATGGGATTAAGGGATATTTTTTCAAATATATATGTAAGCAGTTATACGCTGATGATGAAGTGTTGTCTAAGTTTTTTTTTTAGTTTTTAATTTTTGGGGTTGGAATTTTATCTGCTACTTACACACTAACCAGCTATCCTCTGTACAATACAAACGCGTAGAAACTTAGCGAATTAGACATAAATGACGACAATTGTATTCAAAATGTGAATAATAGAAAATTGAAAATTTTCTTTAAAAATATCTGTTTGCTCAATAATTTCAAAATCTTCATAATATTTTTTTGCCAAGGAAGCGCTAAATAAAGCTCTTAAAGCTAGTTTTCTTTTGCGTTTAAGCAAGCTCTCTCAGTCTAAATGATCAATTGTTTTATGACGAACGTTACTTGGTCGCTTTACACCAAATTACACTATGACGAACTTTTTGTCGTTCTAATCATTTTTTTCCATGGGTTTTAGTTGCAAGCACAATGAGCCAAAAGTTTCCTCTCCTTGTTTGGATAAATTGTATTTTTAGAAAAGCTTTTCAAAATATATTAAATCAGCTAGTATAACTATGTTATAATGAAAACAATAATTTGATTCAAAATGATTATTAAGTGATTTTTTAAAGTATTTGCTTCCTACTAAACCTCAGAGGTTACCCTGGGGTTGTCGTCATCTTGATAGGCGTCATTGTGGCTGTAGTTGATAGCTGAAGCATCTCTTTCTGTAGGCAATGCGGCAAAGGTATTCGAATCTGCTTCTTCGGCATCTTCTTGTTCATCTGCCAGGTCAAATAGGTGTTCTAATTGAGTCCGGATTTCCCTAAATGTTGGTCTGTCTTTCGGATCCTGTTTCCAGCATAGGTTCATGATCTCAATCATTGTGTCCATCTCAACATGGCTTTCGATTCTAGGACGTTCCTGATTGTAAGCTATTTGATACTTCATATTGTCAGTGGACACTTTACCCAAATGCTGGTAAGGATTCCTTCCCTCGTGGAATATTTCCCAGACGAGGACCCCGTAAGCCCAAACATCCGCCTCCTTGCTCCAAACGGGAAGCGAGCAGAAGTCTCTGTAACTGGGCTCGGTTCCGTTTTGATAGTAAACCCGTTCTGAGTTCTGTGATTTGAGAAGTTCAGGTGCACACCACATAATAGGGAGGACGCTCGCTTTCTGCTGACTGGTGGCTTCTGTACTCAGTCCAAAATCAGACACTTTTAGAGTGACTTCACTAGTGGTTTCGGCGATGTCCAACATGCAATTTCGAGCTGCTAAATCTTGGTGCAAAATTCCGTTATCGTGTAGGTACTCCATACCACATGCTGCTTGGAATGCAAAATCGGCCAAGAGATCGTTATGTAGTTGGGAACCATTTTGACGCAAGTAGCTATGAAGGTTCCCTGCATTCATAAATGGTAATACTATGCAAAACTCGGCGTCTGATTTGTTAGGAGGGAAGATGTAACTAAAACCAAGCATTCCAAGGACGTTTTTATGTGAGAAATCAGTCATAGAATCGCCCTCTTGAATTAACTGACTCCAAATTTGCTTGTTTTGATGACTGTTTGGTCTTTTACGCACGCATTTCAAAGCAATGTTAATTAGATCAGTATTTCGGTTCCTGTTTAGTTCCTGGGGGTATTTCAGAACAGCACGATAAACTTCGCCAAACTGACCGTGGCCTATTGGTTTTTCACTAATTCCCAAAATGAGCACAGGAGAAACTCTTTGCGATGCGTATATCTGGATGCCTTTGCTATCTGTGAACTCATTTAGCTGTTCTAGTTCTTCTTCGGGTATGATGGAAACGGGATCTTCGTTTGCGAGGTCAAGAGAGTGCATAGATATGTTGTTGGCGGTACTCAATGTGGGGCCATTGTAACCGTCTTTTTGGTCCTGAGATTTTGACTTGCGTTGCAGGCAAACTATAAAACTAATGAAAAGGAAAATAAATAGAAAGGCAATACTGCAGCCGATAGTTAGGTACAACAAGAACATGCTCGTTTCTTTTTCGTAGTAGAACATGCCGACGTTGACGCTGTATTCGGTTCCGAGGTAGACCATGATTGGCGACTGGCGCGGAATGTTACTCGGCGCCTCGCAAGTTAAAGTCGTATTGGTATAATTTTTGATTACGCATTCGCCGCTATCGCCGATCAATACGCTTACCACTCGGTATTTAAGCCAGTCTAAATCCATGTCGCTGTAACTGATATTCAATAACCGATCCTGAGCTGAGTTGAGTTTGAGAGAGTTTGGCCCGTCTATTTTGTAAATGGTCGGATTGTCCACAAAAGTGACTTCGTTTTCCTCGCCTGATAAGAGGTCATCGAAGAAACCACATGTTTCCTGTTGTGTAACACAATGAAGATCTTTGAGTGACTTTGATGATTTTAAGCTAACTACAGTCGAGATGTCGTAATCAAGGTTATCTGAGGTCAAGTAACGAGGAATTGGAGTTACTCTGCATTTTAGAAAAGCGAATGGAATTTCACTTTGCGAGGGTTGGAATTTGCAATTTTTTTCGCCTGATTCGAATATTATCTCAGCTGCAGCTGAACTTTGATTCAAAACTGTTGTTATCAAAACTGGTTTTGGAATAGCTTCAATGGCGTTGCCAATAAACACGACATCCATGCCTCCTGATTTGATTATTTTGTCCTGGATCATTTGAATGTTGGATGGATCCTGTATGGTTAGTGTGTCCCGCTGCCACCTTCGAAATAGTGATCCATATTGCAAGCTGACGAAAGCTTCTCCTGGTTGCAAGGTTTGGCTTGGTTGGCTCCGACTTTCTTTTGGTTTCTTGACCAGGAATGTTATTGAGTTTGCAGTCCTGTTTGTATGTGCACATGCAATTAAAAACCTGTTGTCATCATGAACTTGGGTGATCTCTAGCTCTGGATCTCTCTCTGTGACGTCACCGTTCCAGAGATTCTCTCCTTCGACTGTCAGCAGTGTTCCAGTAGTAAATGGTATAATTTTGGGATAAACATTTGTTATTTTAGGATCAGTGATTTTGATCAGCGAAGGAAACTCAACAGATCCTGAATCTAATGTCATCTCCAAATCTCCTCTGTAAACTTTTTCAAAATTGGCTTGACATTTGAGTGATTTGAGGGAATGTACCAAATTTCCGCCTATGTTAAATTGAACCTCCTTTGCGAAGTTAAAAGAGTTCAGTTCTTGATTTGCAGCAATGATCACATCATCATGTGGGCTTCCAGATTTGGGATTGTTTTCTGTGAACACTTTACAACTGACCTTGAACTCATGACTTAGTGAGCTGCCATATATGGTGATATCGTAAGATTCTGTGAGGTGAACAATTGTCGGCGAAACTGATTCGATAACGGGACTGCAAATTGGATGGGTGTTTGGATCTGACGTTTCCTCGCAGCGATTGTTTTGCCATTTGCATTTTGAACGCAGGCCGAAAACATTTGACTGGCATTGAAAACAATTTGAAGCTGAGTCGCATTGAGGGAAAAATTGGGATAGCTTGAGAAATTCTGTCTTTTGTTTTGCCGATGATGTTTGCTTGAGAACAAGTTGGCTTTGAGTTAATTTTAATTCTAATTCAGAATTGTTTTCAAGTATCAAAATGGTATCGAGTTGAAAAAGAGAAGTTGTATTTTGATCCGCATTTCTGAATTTTTTCAGCACAAATCGTTCTAGTAATAACTTGTCATTGATTGGATTTCGAGTAATTGCTAGCATTAAATCTTTTTCCGTCACGTCTATCACGGAGAATGATTCAATATCGAGAAAAGTTTTAGCACTGATGTCTGGTGTTGTCTGAATTTCTTTTCCATTTATTGAGCATTGAGCTGAGTTTAAGCATTGCTCATATTGATAAATCAGGTCGTCGATATCAATCGAGCAGAACTCGGTTGAGCTCAGATCGTGAATTAAAGAGCGAGTAACAGTTATTCGTGATTCAGAAATATCTGCTAGAGCTAATTTGGACTGAATCAAATCTTTGTTCTTGCATTTTTCAGGTGTGGCTTTTAGAAATTGGCACTTAGCAGATAAGGATACGGATTTAGTTTCATCGGGGTTTGAAAAGTTACTAACAATAATGGTGAATATTTCTTCATTGTCCGATTGTATCCAATTATCTTGCGTGTAAATCGAAATTCCGATAGCGTTTTCATTTTTAAAAATTTTTTGCGAATTGCTCAAAAGAATTTTCTGTTGGTTATTTTCGATAATTTTGGATCCGAAATCGAATTCCAAGTCGTTTCTCCACCGAATATTCAAAACGTTTGTTTCCAGGTTGTATCCAAACATGACTTCAGAGGGTTTTAAAGTTCCAGTATTTAGTCCATGGGCTGTCAAAATTCGGTCTTCGTTTTCAGAAGTTTCGTCGAAGAGATAAATCTGGGCGAAGTTTTCTAGCTTGATGATTTTTTCTGGGTCGTATTTGACTTCAGAATTTTGTACGCTAATTGGAACAAGAAAGCAAAAAGAATTTATCACTGCAGTTTGGCACTTTTCGAAGCAGATAGACAAAATTAAGTTAGAGGTTAAGCCGTCTCCCTTTTTGGCAGTTTGCATTACATTTAGCTTGCTGGTTACGGACGAGCAATGGTAACTTGTAACTTTAAGGCCATCACTCAACTGTGCGAGGGGATATTTTTTGAGCCAGGAATTGAGTAGATCGAAGACGTAAATGTGTTCCAAGTCAGTGTAGAAAACAAGTGAGTGTTTGGTGACAGTAATTGGTGTGACAGTAAACAAACCACGGTAGTTTGAAATATTAATGAAGTCATTATTCAAATGACTGATGTCAAGAAGCTTTTGAAAATTTTGATTGCAACGAATTTGACGACTGCAATTTAAAATCGTGGTAAGAACTAATAAAGTAACACGCGCTGAAAGGAACTGAAGTATTTTCATGTTCACCTGTTTGAATATTGTTGTTAATTAGTGAACAGTTTTTCTGATAAAATTAGTAATTGAATGCATGTTTAAGACTGGTTGGCTTCTAACTAGAATTGTCCTTTATTTCGAGTTTAAAAGGAAAAAGTAATTAAGGGAAGAAGATGAGACCAATGTCTAATAGGTTTTTGGTCGTAAAGTTGACATATTTATTATTATTGTAGAAGAAACAAGAAAATGTCATCTGAAGTTTGTGTGTTCGTGTCTGGTATTTGGTGATATTCGTTAGATGGCGCTGTAGTGTGTTGTTGTTTTTGCATTTTCAATCAGCCAACTTGGTCTTGTGTTTGTTCTTATTGGCAGCAGGAAGCAAAAATAGAGGCAATAAAACCGAATAAAAGAAGAGTAAAATATATATAACAGTTGAAGAGTTTAAATCGGCCGCAGTGTAAATTCTACCATCAATATTATTCTGTTGTTGTGCTGCTCCTTTCGCTGAAGGAGTTCAGAGGTGGAAACTAAAAACGCAACAGAGCCACACGTAGTGAAGAAAAGGATTTGTCATAAATTAGCAGATAAAATTAACTTCAGATGGACCACAAACAGAAAGTTAATCGAAATAATGCAAAAAATGTGCAAAAAAGGCACCACTCAAAAAGGGCAGAAAAAAATTAGAAACTAGCACACGTGATCAGCTGCGACAGTAGTGCAGGTTGTTCCGAGTTCTGAATTACGAAAAAGATTTAGAAAAATAAGGTAAAAATTAAAAATATATATTAGTTGGCGCTTTTGGAGGAAACACGAATGAACAAAAGTGAGATATCTTAAGTGAACATCCTTGTCTTGGTTTTAGTACCCCTTGAATATTTTTTCACTTATCGGTGTGGGGGAATCTAAATTAGTGTTGTGAGGAGCCTGACTCAGGTTCTTATTTGTTTTTTTTTGTCGGCTTTTAAGCTCATCTGCGTATTGGTGTGGGGGTGTTGGGTTTTAGGAATAGAGGTAGAAATGAGGGTTAAAATGCGATCAGTTCCGTAGCTTCTCTCCGAGGGGTGGAAGGGAAGGAGAGGAAGTGGTTGGTCTAGAATGACTGAAATCTGAGTAATTAGTTGTCAATTCTACTCCTTTTACTGCTCCGAGCGGGACAAGGCTGAGGTGGACCAGGAAACCCAGGGAAAGTAATTAGAAGTAAGCTGATAATTGATGCCTGTCTTCTAATGGTGCAGTTACGGAACTTCATTAAGGTGGGAAAGTAGGGCCTGATGACTACCGGAAGCAATCATTTTTGACAATAGGATTCTTACTAGGATATCATTTTTTTAAAATCTGTATTAAAATTTTTAGAACCAAATCGAGTTGAGTTTAAAACCATAAAGTTACATAGAATTTAGGACCAAATGTGTTTGAGTGTTTTTTAATTCTGGGATGTGACTGAAAAGTAAGTCATACGGTAAAAAAAACGAACTCTAAATGTCAAAATTTACCATAGTCGAGGATTTTGTAGCAGAGAATAGTTGTGATGTTGATTCAAAATGTGAATACTAATAGAATCCGATGGTAAGTAAGCTTATGTTAAATAAATTAGAGTCAGTAACGAACATAATTGGAATATACTGAGCCAATATTTGACTGTTTGTGTGTCGCTTCATTGACACAATAGGACTCACTGACTGTGCTTTTGTTGAAACTGATTGATGAATCAATCAGTAGTTATAGTGTACAGTTGAGATTTGGGGGTAGTAATCATTGCAGCAAATAGTGATGCTGAAACTTAGGGTTAGTTATCCGATAAGTATCATCTGTCATGTTTTCTCATTGAAATGCCGAGTTAATTTTTAAAGAAAAAAGAAAGAAATTCAGAAAAAAGCCGCGAGGAGTTTTTTTGAAGCAATTTCAATCAATTATCTTTAAGCTTGCGATTATTCAATTATCTTTTCCTTTTCAACTAGTGTCTTTGAAATTGCTAGTATTAAAAATGTTTTCTACTGGAGGAGGGAAATTGCGAAGAAATTTCCCCAACAATTAAATAACTCATTGCTGAGTTGATGATTGGGTAATGTGTGAAAAACGCAATGAGAGCCGATCTTGTCAATAATACTTCGTCCCAAAGAGTGTTTTTAGTGCACATTTGATTAAAATGAAATTGAAAGAAGATTTAGATTGAACATATGAAGGGAGTGGAAACGATTTGATGGAAAATCAGAATTTATTTGTTTCGCTCTTTGGAGTCCCAAAAGAAATAGTTAATTAGGTTGGTCAAATACTGGGGAAAGTTGACTAGAAGTTGGTTTTTGATTTCAAACGAATGACATACAACAGACGCCTGTTTCGATTTAGACTGAAAAGTATTTTTTTAAACAGAAAGTAAAGAAGATAACGATAAACACAACTGAATAATTAATGATACTTTCCCTATTGAAGCTTATGCCTATGGCATTCATAGCGGCATGCCCAAAACTTTTATCAATAATTTATTCACGAGACTCCTCAGCAGTACCAACCTTGTCACGCTACATGGCTGTTCTGTACCTGAAGATAGCTGTTAGTTATAATCAATAGCGTTAATTTACCTTAAAAACACATTTACCTTCAAAATTTTGGTTCTCATTAACTATCCCCCCTTCTTGTTTGTATTTTCAGAAATTCAGCTTTGGCTGCCACATTTTCAATAGCTGAAAACAAGTTTCAGAAAATATATTTAATTAAAAATTTTCATGTAGGTATTATATAAACAGTGAGTAATACAAATACGAACGCGCGAAAATAAAAATCCAATAGATTTTTGACATTTTTGAAATGCATTTTTTATACAGCAATGGTTGTCAAAAAATAATACATGCACAGGGGGGGGGGATAGTTAACTATTATCATTAAAATGTCAATTGTATGTTAAGTAGCTATATAAAGGCTCCACTCAAAAGCCTTTATATAGTCGAAGTTTTCAAAATTCGGTTTTCGAGTTCATTTCGCAACTGTACCTTAGGAAATGTTCATATCTTTGTTCCATCCTACTGACTTGAAAATTAGCTCTCTATGTTTATTCACGTTAATTTTGTTTCAAACTGGAACCTTTTTGTGAACAAGTTGATTTTTACACAGGCGAGCTATCGAACTTAATGATATATTACGAATCGACATTTTTTCGGGCCCAAATAGCAAATATTAATAGGTGCTAATTTACTGTTACTCTTGCTGCATAGCATTATCAATCTCATCTATTGGATTTTTTGAGACTAGTGTTTGATTATTTTCAAGCGACTATGGCGCAGAAGCTAGGACCTGCTAGAATTTGAGGTCGGGAGTATGATTCGGACTTATAGCCGAATTTTTTTAGTTTTACCTTTTCTTTTTTTCTAACTGTTATTGAAACTCGAATATATTTGTGGGCTTCTGTTTTTTTATCTTTGAATTTTGAAAGTTGAAATTTTTTCAAAAAACAAATCAAGTTAATCGTGTACTTGCGTTAATTGACTCTTTTCCAACTGTCTGTTGGCTATTTTTAAGCAGCCTAGTAGCGAAAAACTATATACCAACATGTTATTTGATTATTATGGTGGCTTTATTTTTTCACGAGGATGATACTTACTGTGAAAAAAAGGAAGATTGTTTTGATATGATAATTTAGCAGAAATTGATTAACTTGAAAATTCATGCTTAAATTTTTCTTTTTTTCCAAGTTTTTATTTTTAAAAATTTAACTACTTAATTCAAATATAACTTTTATGCTAAAGCGTTTGATAACAGCAGAGCTTCAACTTATTGCTTTCAAGGGCCCCATGGGTTCGAAAGTAGATTAGTTTCGAAAGTGGATACTAATTTTTTGAAATCTGAGCGGAATAATTAATTTACCTATTAATCCAGTTTTCTGTCTGGAAAAAACGGTCAACCGTAGATTATTCTTAAAATTCAAAGTGCTACAGGGCCATATATTTTTTTCTTGAAACTCGATAATGAAAAGCCGTTCCAAAAAAGCTAGTTTATTTGCTTTGACTTATCACTTCTTTAGCTCAGCTTTTTTTTCGAAACAAATGAAATATTGTGCATGTTTAGTTTGTTCTTATGTTTGTGTACGCATGCGATAAGCAAGCATTATCAAATTGAAATTGATACTTTTTTTCGGGTTAACAACTGGTTTACCAAAATCACGTGAATCACTTATGATGTTTACATGTTCAATTTCATGAAAATTCGAATTAACTACCGAATGTCAGGGACTAGCAGCTAATCCATGCTATATCTAAAACTCAAACTATTGCATGTATGATTATAGAGTTTTGATATTTATTTTCTGCTGATGGTTTCCAAATTATGTAGTCTACTGTGCATACGTGACTGGTATATCTATCGTGGATCCTATGTGGGCGTTACATGAATTTTTTTCATATGTTTTTAACTAAAGAGTTTACTATTTTTTGGAACTATTTTTTCCAACAAACAATTTTTTAATGGATAAAAAGAAAGCAATTCTGTGAATCAACATACATATTTTGAGTTTTTATGAAATTGAAATTTTTGTTCTGTTTTAAAGTTGCTGTATTCGAACCTAACTCCAGTTTTCTATATTTTCATTTATTCCGAATACCCCGTTTACTCGGCTTTAAATGTTGCGGCTATCGGCATAACAATTTTAATTGTTGTCATTTGAAGGGTGAAGTTCTTTTTAATTTGCGTGCCTGCTGCGTGGCATGTGAAAATGGACTAAAATTCAAATGGTAGCCTCAAATTTTATGCATGTTGTTTTTTACTCAACTCTACCCCAGTTTTGTTAGCTTACTCACCGATCATAAACTACTCCTGTTTAATGCTTATCAAATACTAGTAACTGTCTTTCGCAACATGTTTTTTCCAAAATGATATTCGAAAATGAGATAAATCTTTGAACTTTTTGTTGGAATTAGTTTTAACACAAGCGGAGCAGATGCTGGGACGTATGACTCCTAGTCTTGAAATCGGAAATCAATTCTAGCTCATTGCAGATCTTTTTTGAACATTTTCAATCAAAATTTTGATATTTTTTGCATAATTTTTGTCATATTTTTAGCATATTTTTTGTCAAAATGACTTAGTGCTGATTTAAATTATCCAAATTAGACAAAATGATTAAAACTTGAATTTTCAAACAAGTTTTTTCAAATTGGGTTAAGATTAGACAAAAACAGAACAAAAATTGCTTAGAATTTCATCATATTAATATGGTGCAATTTTTTCTCCGAAGTTCTCAACCAAAAATTTACTCCAACAATTGATCATTTTGGAAACATCAAGGAATCACCATAACGGCGCAAACTTTTGATTTAATCTTTAAACTACCTGTTCTCAAGTTTAGACCAGAAGATAGCGTTTTTTATGTCCACGCATCCCCGCCAAAATGAGCATTTATGCGAATTGGGAAATAAGGAATTCGACTGGAAAATCAGATATCAAAACTTTTAAATGAGACTTCCTTATCGAAATTCTGGATAGAATTTACCTAAGGATTACTTTTTCAAAACGAAGCTCGTAGAAAAACTTGGAAAACGTAAAATATATTTTAGACGGATATTACATATAGAATGTTTTTGGCTTTTTTCAATTAATCAAGAATTACGCTGAAACTACTTTGTTAATTGATGAGAAATATATATCACAAGAAGCTTCTTTAAATCAGCACTGTATCTTGTCATCCTTTTTTCGTGATGTATCACAGAAATTGCGAAATTCCGCTTCGCCTCTGAATTGCCTTGAAATTCAATAATTTGCAAATCAAGTTATCTGGACCTTTTTAACAAAATTCATGTTGACCTTTGCCTATGATCGCGATTTGAAACTGCTAGTGATAAATCATGTGATTTTCAATGGCCTTTATATTTATAGCAAACAATTTTCTACATCCCTGGCTTTGAAATTAAACGCTACCGTCAATAGTTCTCAATTTGGTTCAAGATTCTCAGATAAGAAATCTTTTTGAAATCAATTGAAGTTTTTTTATTTACAATTCGGTGCAAGTTGCCCAGATTCAGAATTTTTATTAGTTTTACAATAATCTCTCATAATTAGTACTTCTCTCTTATAAGGTTTTCCCAAAGTTTTCGAAGAAAGCCCTTCATTCGATTTCTATCAAATTATTTTGACGTATGTATAGTTTGTCGTTGTTAAAAATAAGATTATATTAAGTTTTTACGAGTGCGATTAGCAAGAGTTATCAAACCGGAATATAGTCTTTTTTGGGGTTAACAACTAGTTTAACAAAATCAGTTAAAGAAAGTTATGGTGCTTCTATGCTGCTGACATGTCAATTTCATGAAAATTCGAATTTAAATACCGGGTACTAGTTACTACTCATGCTATATCTAGAACTCAAAATTCTGGTTGTATAATTGTAGAGTTTTGATATTAATTTTCTTCTGATAGTTTTTCGGCTTTATGGTTGTCGTCCTAAACTTTGTTGGTTGAGTTTCCAAGTTATGTAGTCTACTTTGCACACGCTTCTTGTATTGATATCGCGGATCCTATGTGGTTGTTACATGTTTCAGCGTATTGGATGTCGGCTTCAATTCGCTCGGCCGAATTACCGGTTTTTTTTCTTAGGATGCAGTACTTTTGAGATAATAAGACTCTGGCACTAATTTTTGTGTGCTCAAATTCAAAT